AAAAGATGTGAACCTGGCATTCAGGTTGGCCTGGTCTTTCTGGATATTCTCCTCTCATTTTTGCAGTTGCAATAGCCTGAAACAAATGGTAACATGAACAAGTATCAGCAATTAAATCATCAACAAAGCTTGAATTTATAGCACGGTTTTACCAGTTTTCTGTTAGGAGGATGATTGAAACGACAAGTTGCCCCAAACCTACAAAGGCCTGTTCTGATATAGTACGAACAATCTGGTTCTCCTTCACGAACAGGATAAGGTCCTGACTCCATTGATTCCCTTGATCTCAAGTTCAATTGCCACAATGCATCTGAAATACCATCATAAACTAAACAAGCCATAAAAATCATCAAAAACTGATGATGTACAAAATTAACATCACATTGAGTACTGACGACTCCGATTACGCCAATTTCAGCAATAAAGTCAAAATCAAACTCCATAAACCATCAATTCTACATCGTTAATCTACAAAAACAAACAGAGAAAGGAAAAAAAGGACCTTCGCTTAACGGCGGAGACAAAGACGACGATACTTCGGCGGTGACAGGCGGTCGTGACATCGGAATTCCACTATCGAACTCCATACCACCACCACTGAAACGACGTCATCTCATCCATCAGCAACGGAAGTGCTTCTCCGGTAATTTCATATGTACAATTCACCTTTGGTTTTCGATTGTTTCAGATTTCAGTCGCTCGTCGTCTCCGATCAAATGTGTGTGTGTGAGAGAGAGAGAAAGAGAGAGATAAAGAGAGGAGAATTTGGTCGCTGGTTCTCTTCTCTCCACAAACCAGAAGTAAGTAACAACCAACCAAAAACCAAAAAGATTATTGTGTGAAAATCAAAAATGTATTTTGCTTTTTTCACACGCGCGCACCAACAAACGCTCACGCGAGTTACGTGTCGCTTTCAGCATTAACGAAAGGAAAACCCACGTTTTATGGAGTTTGGGATTTTTTAGTTTTACAAAACCAACTGCAAAAATCGGTTTATAACTACGATCTTAAAAAAACCGAGCAGACATAACTTCATAACCAAGTATATTTGGATTGGTTTGGTTTGTTTTGATTTGGATTTTTTTTTTTTTTTAAGTTTTTAAAGTATCAGTTTTTGGTTTTTTAATTTTTGTTTAAATAAGGTTCTTGTGTTTTTTGTGTCATAACTAAAACTGAATGGATTTTTTTTAAATATGTTTGTTATACGATTGTTTCAATAAAATGATGAAGACATTACGTGTTTGTATAAATCAAAAATTAAAGGATGAGTCTGTATTTCAACTTTATAAATATATAAAATATAGTTGAAGCCTAGCTAATTTAATTTCAAATTTGATACAAAGACATTTAACATTTTATATTTATATTTTTCAAATTAGAAAACCTCAAGCTTGTATGTGGTCCGTGATTCTATTTGAGATTGAATAAATATAGGAACTGATTCGTACGTAACATTTTTTTTTCATACACAACAATTTGTGCTTTAAAGTGTTGTATTGTACAACTTTATAATGCATAAATTGTTGTGTATGGCAAAAAATTGTTGTGTACGAATCACTTCCCAATAAATATAGATTAGCTTATTTTTGGTTATATTATATTATAATTTGTATTTTTTTTAACTTTTTTTTTATTTATCTTTTTTTTTTGTATTTAGTTTCGTCATCCCTTAGTAAATTATAATCCTTTCTAATAAATAATGTTTTTTATCACATGTTTTCTTCTTCTTTATTTTGTTACGTGGTTTTTTCTTGGTTTTTTTTATCATTTTCTTATTTTCTACTTGTCATTTTTTAAAGTTTTTCATTCTTACATTAAATTTTCAGAATTTACAAATATATATATATATATATATATATATATATATATGAAAGATTCTCATTCTATTCATGCAAGGTTGTCATTTTATTAATTTGAAAATAAATTTACTTAAATGTTAGAAACTCATTGATTTATTTGTTTTTAATTATTTTATAAAATGTTTAATGTTTACATATTGATATTAAACTTTTTATTTTTAATAAACTCGTATAGTATACGAATCTCTTATCTAGTTGATTTTAATATATAGACAAAATTGCAAAAATGGTCCTTCTGGTATACATTTTTTTGGGGTTTCAATCCAAACCTCGACTTTTTTGGATTTATGATCCTTTTGGTCTAGTTTGTACGTAGAAATGGTCCTCCGACTTAACTTCTGTTAAGTTTTTGCTGTTAACCCCCTCATGTGCATCTCCAATGAGGGTATATTTGTCTTTTCATATATAAAGGACCATTTTTGCACCTAAAAATATATCCCATTTTAAAAATAAAAAAAAATTAATACCTATTTATTTATTTTAATAATTAAAAAATAAGAAGGTCTCTCTCTCTCTCTCTCTCTCTCTATATATATATATATATATATATATATATATATATATATATATATATATATATATATATATGCTTACCATTTCTCTCCCATCATGTTCTTCATCACCACCATGACTAACCCTTACTCTTCAAATCTATACTCGTAGAACTTTAGATTCAATCAATTTTGCAACAATTTTGCTACAAATCTTCCGCATCATATTCAGTATAACCTTCACGAACAACACCCTCAAAGCTACCATTACAGCAGTGTCCAATCTTCTTCATATTCTAACACGAGAATTACTAACAGTTTTTACTTCAATCCATCGACTTCTGTCCCTAATCAGCACACAACCCCTCCTCCTCTCCTCCTCACAAAACCCATAACAGTGAACAAGGGTGGCGGTGTAAGGAGGTAGTGTTAAAATGTAGCATCGGTGGTTAATAGGTGGTCGACGGAGCTATAAGGTGGCAATGGTGTTACACTTCTAGGGCAGCAGAGAAACAGGTAAGAGGGTAGTGTCCTTCCATTTGAGTCTAAATTTCGAAAAATTTTACAGGTGGGTCTTAAATCAGATTTCCAAAAATCAAACACCAATGTTCTTTCTAAATTGCAGAACAGGTCTAAAGGCTTTGACTTTTAACCCAGAAATCGAATGAGGATTTATCTCTTGTATTCTGCCATAGCTTAAAATTTTGGAGAGGTTGAACTTCAAAGAAAATTTTAATTGTAGAACAGATCTGAAATCTGAAACTCTGATTTCTATCCCATCATATCTTCTTTCCTGGTTCAATCTCTGTAAATCATTGTTGCTTTTCAAGCTTTTAGCAAAACCCCTTTTTCAAGCTTCAAGCTTTAAGCGTGTTTGTATGTGGCTTGATTTGCAAAAGGAAGATGTAATGAAGAAGAAGACGAGAGAGAGAGAGAGAGAGAGAGAGAGAGAGAGAGACCTTTTTATTTTTTAATTATTAAAATAAATAAATAGGTATTAATTTTTATTTTTTTTAAAAAATGAGAAATATTTTTTAGATGCAAAAATAGTCCTTTATATATGAAAAGACAAATATACCCTCATGTGAAATGCACATGAGGGAGTTAACAGCAAAAACTTAACGGAAGTTAAGTCGGGGGACCATTTCTACATACAAACTAGGCCAAAAAATGCATAACACATAGACTATTTTTTCAATTTTGTCTAATATATAAACTATGTTAATGTACATTTTAAGGTATATTTTATCCAAATAATGTGAATTAAATGCATGTTATGTAATGTAAATTTCACGTTTTATAATAATAATAATAATAATAATAATAATAATAATTAGATAAGAAGCCCCGCTTCGCGGGGGTTGGATTCGACGCTAATATTAAACAAAACCGATGGAAGACATTATGTTAAACGTTTGTCATGGAAGTAAAATGCTATAATTGGTTGACTATGAAAGTATATTGATGCTTAAAAAATGTAGTAAAGTAGAAGCAAACTGAGATATATTCTCTTTTTAAAACACATATGTTGGGTACAAAACTACTTAAACCAAATTAGTCAAAGGCAACACCAGTCCAACTGCTTCCTCTCGAATAAGCTCTTGTGGCTTTGAGATCCCTTAAGTGATGATTTTGTAAAAATTTACAAATAGAAAAATTATAAATGGGTTTCAAATACTTATTATTTTTTAGGACTGACCAAAATGCCCTTTGTTAAAAATAATGCATAATGATAACAAAGTTTTGATTAAATTGTATATACTTAACCTCTCCCACAAGATCATCTTCAGAACGATCTGAGAAATTAAAAATAACGGTTATGCCCCTGAAATGTTTTGAATAAAAATCATTGGCATCAATAAGCAATTTTATGAATTAAATATTGATAACAAAGATAATGGTAACTAAACTGAAATCAGGCAAAATGGCAAGCAGTTTTGTTAATTCAAGTTGAAAGTTGGATAAATAAGATAACAAACTTTCAAATTGATAACCAGAAAAAAAAAAAAAAAAAAAAAAAAAAAAAAAAAAAGATTTGAGAAATTAAAATGACGGTTATGCCCTTTAATGTGTTGAATAAAATCATTGGCATCAATAAGTAATTTTCTGAATTAAAACTGATAGTTGGATAAATAAGATAACAAACTTTCAAATTGATAAACAGAAAAAAAAAAAAAAAAAAAAAACAGTAGATTTGAGAAATTAAAATGACGGTTATGCCCTTTAATGTGTTGAATAAAATCATTGGCATCAATGAAGTTATAGGTTAGAATTTCCGCTAAAATACATAACATTCAATCAGATTAACAATGCTTGAATAAATCCGAATTGAAAGAGAAGCACAATTACACCATAAATAGTTTTATAGCAATGTACTATAAACATACAAAAGAGGTGAGAAAATTTAAGCATACCTAATCGTAGAATGTAAGCCAACTTCGCTGTGATTTTTCTTGTGCTCCTACTGCTCTTCATTATATGTGAGTGAAAGGATGAAGGGAATTGTGAAGTAATCAAAATATTTAACGAAGCTATATATATATATATATATATATATATATATATATATATATATATATATATATATATATATATATATATATATATATATAACCTTAATATCAACAATTTAACTATTAACATATAAAAGGTTCATAGATTTTCTTATGACATTATTTCAGCTTTGTTTTTGCGTTCAAAGCGTAGGATTCCAGTCACATTGTGGATTTATGCATGAAGATTTCTCCACAAATTGTATTCAAGGGTAATTTGGTGATTTGCCCCTGCCTTGGATACCATACAGTAACAGGTTATGTACATCCTGGTACAATTATAAACATTAAATGATCCAAGACTAAGCAGCAACCTGCAAATAGGCTATAAATTCTGATGAAGTAACTGAGTTTCCATCATGTGCTTTAGATGAAACCCATTCGAATGTTTTCTCCTGCAACGTCAAAAAAATCTTTGGTTTTATTTCATGGACCTTAAATTTCATGATTCTGTAACAAATCTTGATGTTATTTAGCAAAAGAAAAGTGGGATTTAGAATTTCAAGTGTTCAAGATAAAGATCTACTGTGACACAAAAGGATCAAGAAAGAAATGAACCAACTTGAAAGAAATTATGCTAAAATTGTAAAGAATTTGATAACATGGGAGCCTGGAAATTTAGCAACTTTGATTCAAATAGTCATAAACATGAACTAAATTTTCAAGCAGCTGATGGGTATTCTGCAATCGATGTACTCTGGAAAAATTCATGTAATGAAAAGTAGCATATCAAAATCAAAATATGCGAGACGAATTATCCCCAACTTAGACAAATAACCATATCAGATCCCACGAATTTGAAGTAAACAATAGGTAATTGCATCAATCTAAGTAAAAAACAATAGGAGTTGAAATTAGGGTTTACCGATTCTCACAAGTGAATGTCTTCGACCATACCCAATACCACCCCTAGCACTCGATATCAAGCACCGGTGACCACCTCCATAAATGTCCAATATTCAGCCCTGTTCACGTACACAAAGGCCAAGAAACCCCACCACCATAGCCGATACCCTCAAAGTAAAAGAAAAATTACCTTCAAGTCGTTCTGAATCAGCCACGAAGAAAGAGTTATATTCGGCGACCGGTAGGGAGAGGAGAGGATGGGGTAAAAGCCCTAAGTTCAGATAACAGATAAAGATGGAAGCAAAACCAGGCACGATGAACAACACGTGGACAGAGAATAGAATATTTTCCACAAACGTCGACGCCGATCGTGCGTACGACACCGCCGTTTTCAACCTACGTGGCCCATCGACACGTCTTAATATCCCTGATTCAATCGGAGACGACGGTGATCTACAGGACCTCTCCTCCGATTCGATTAGAAAGAAGGCCACAGAGGCCGGAGGTATGGTCGAAGACGTATGTGTAGGTGGTGGAGAAGACATCTGATAAGAGAGGCAGTAGGGGAAGCATGAGGAATAAAAATGAAAGCGGTGGAAGGATCTGGTGGTGTAATAAAGAACGAAGCAAGTCGTTTGGATGGTGGGCGGTGACCATGGCTGAGGCAGTAACAACGAAGAACCAAAAAGAAACAGCGGTGGACAACGAACCCAAAAGAAAGAGAGAAGAACACGTGGACAATAAACGAAGGGCAAAAAAGACACGTAGATGCAAGTCAGCATTCTACATTAACAAAAAGGCTTAACAGATAAAATACACGAGTGACAAACAAACAGAAGTACAGGTGGGTAAACAACAATTTCATAAGGAACGAATGAAATAGATAACATAAAAATTGGAAGGGCCATATATGCACAAATAGGAGGCAGAATACTGTAGCTAAGGAGCAACAATTTTAATATATATAATAATAATAATAATAATAATAATAATAATAATACAATCCTTCTATGAATAGAGATTAGCACTCTAACTTTCATTCATAATGATGTAAAAATGAAATGGATTTTCACTTCCCTAGTTAATATTTATTTGTTTTACTTATTAAAGTCACCGTGCATTACTATGAAGAAAATGATGAAGACAACCATATAGTATGTTTCGAGTCAACATCAATCTTGCCTTAAAGGAAGATAAAGAATTAAGAATTCTAAAACATTTGATTCGGTAAAAAAGTTAAATAAATGTGTATATTGTTATAATATTTGTACATTTCTTTTAAAAAACTCTCATTTATATCCTTAAAAACCTTAAATATTACTTCACTTTCCTTATAAACTTTGAAATTACATACATATCATTCTAAAACTATAAATTTCTCCTTTATATCCAAACTTAAATTTTAATTAGGATTGTATCCATTTAAAACTTAATAATAAAAAAAAAAAAAAAGTCTTATATAAATTTTAAATTTTCATGAGTTTCCCAAAATATAATTTCCAAATTAAATCTGGCATCATACGTGATGTGTAAAACAGCCTGACTTTTCTCAGTCTGACTTTTCTCACTAATATTTTGGGGATTGTAACGTTCCAAAAATACAGCAAATTTAAAAGTTTTCAAAACAATTCTTTTGTTTAATACAAGTGTTACTAAACCATTGTTTCAAAATATTATTTAAAATTGAAGTCTCCCAAAATCCATTTAGTTGTAAAACCGATGATGTGGTAATGTATTTGCCTTACCACGGTCCACTAAAGTACCTGAAACCATAAACCAAAACTGTAAGCACGAAGCTTAATGAGTTCCCTCAAAATACCACCACACAAACATATAATATATACTAACAAACAACAACATGCATACAGAGCCTTCAGACTGATTGGAACGCCCCGTCGGCTTACAGTCTACCTGGTACGCTCACAGAACCTACAACATGACTGGTACACTACATTGGGCCTTCAACCTATCCGGAACGTTCTCCGGGCCTTCGATGTGACTGTTACACCCTACTGGCATTCCGTCTATCCGGGATGCCCTGGGTCTATTGACCTTCAGCACAAAGTAGGACTGTCTCAACCCAACCACATACAACATGTCAATATATACATATCCAAACACATATAAGCCCAATAAATCATAACAACATATCGATATAAACATTATCGGGTTTTTTGACTGACAACACAAAGCAGTACTGTCTCAACCCACCCACATTACGACGACATATACACATGTAAACATATAACCAACTAACAAATAAACATAAATATCTTACATAGCACTAAACATAGCATCATCCTATATACTAGGATACAGATCTAACAGGTCACTACAGCATACCAACATGCGATAAACCAAGATAACAATCCAATGGGCTGACTTTGCTGCCTTCAACCCAAAAGTACAGTAAGGAAAACTCACCTCTCGACCTGATCCATAGCTGATGAGGACTGACTCTGAATCTCAACTCTTTAACCGATACCTATTTCCACCGAGTGACCAATTCCATCAAAATTTCAAAATACCCAAAATACCCTAAAGGTCCAACTTGGTTAAAGTCAACGGTCAAGGTTAACAGTCCATGTTGACCCAACACGATGTGTTGACTAAGAAACACGTCGTGTTCCGCGAGCATCCAAACTGTCGGGAAAACCTCAGCCAACACGCTGTGTTGACTTTCAAATAAGCCGTGTTCGCCAAAGTTCCAACAACTTAATATGTTAAGCCATTTTCAAATATGTTAAGCCATTTTCCTTGATTCCAAGAGCTCCAAAGCTCATATCTAGCCCGAAATGTGATCCATAAGGATAAAGTTTCCAACTTTATCCATTGGGACTACCCAAAAAGGTCCAACACCCAATCCACAAAGCTTAAAAATTCAAGGGTTTAACCAATAAGCACTTAACCAAAAAGGTCTGACACCCAATCCATAAAGCTTAAAAATTCAAGGGCTTAACCAATAAGCACTTAATCCTTAAGGTCCAAAATACATCCTTTCCAGAAGTGATTTTAACCCCCAAACCATCCCAAAGGTTGGTGTTTTTTAGACATACATGTCTAATGTATGTCTTGAACCTATATTAGGTTAAAATGAGGATCTGTGACCTAATCTATATGCATGGCATCAAAACAGGGTCGGTCTTGAAAACTCAAATACCCTGGACAAGCCGGGAAAAAAAGGTCATTTGGTCTTAACGTGGAACGAATTAAATTACATAAACTGTTTTTTTAAACAACGATAAACTTTATAACAATAAAAACAGCAAAGTCATAGTATTTTAATAAGTACCAACTAGCTGTTCCGGATCGGATATTTTATACTACAATTTCACTAAAAATATTTTTTTAATAAAACGAAGATTTTAAAGGTTAATTTGGTCATTAGTAAAACGTGACAAAAATCTAATATTTTTTTTTCCTTCAACCGTTCAACGATTCCCTATTGATAACTAAAAATCGTTATTATCATTATCTTTTTGGAAGTGATTATAAATTAGTGAAACAAATGGGTGCATAGTGTTCTAAAACTCGTAATTAATCTTTTAAAAAATTACTTAATACTTTAATAAAATATTACTTGAAGAATCTTGCAATTTTGTTCTTAGTGGATGCAAAAAGAAAAGAAAAAAAAAAAAAAGGCACGAGAATTTAGTAGAGGCACACAAAGAAAAATAAAATACTACTTGAAGAATTTTGTAATTTTGTTCTTAGTAGATGCAAAGAAGAAATAAATAAATAAATAAATAAATAAATAAATAAAAAAGGCACGAGAATTTAGTGGAGGCATACAAAGAAAGTTTAACACACTTAAAAAGGCACCACCTAAAGGGATTCGAACCCGGGTAGTTTGTATTATCTTAAAAAACTAGAAGCGCGCTTATCACTTGAACCATAAGGAAACTATGTTTTTGTTTGAACGGTTTATTATTTATATAAATATTAAATAAACAATATGACTAAATCTCGGGCTCTATTTTTTTGGGGCCCTGTGCGGCTGCCCACCTTTCCCCCCCTCAAATTCGGCCCTGCATCAAAACTTGATTAAAGACCATATCCAAGACACTACTAGGTCACCTTAACCTAGAGATTCATAAAGTTGCAAGCTTTATGAGATCTAATCATTCCAACATTCAAGAACAAGAAGCAAAAGGAACAAAACCCAAGACCTAACAACTTTAAATGATAAAATCAAGTCTTGGAGACTTACAAAGGTCCAGAAGAGTGCCAGACTGAAGAATGGGGGTTTGCTTGCCGGATCTTTGCTTCCTTCTTCAACCTTCTTCCCTCTTTGGCTCCAAAAACACCAAACTAGCTTCAAAAATGGGAGGAAAAGATGATTAAGTTTTCTTTAAGGGCTTGAGGGTTAATTGGGGTTGAGGGTGAACAAACCCTAGCCTCCATATTCCTTTAAATGGGGTGCAAAACATGGAAGATTAGGGTTTCATTACCAACCATCAACACGCCGTGTTCCAAGAGGAACACGTCGTGTTGCCTAAAATGAAACTTGTGCCTTTTCATCTCTAGAAACTATGTGTTGGTGCCTCAAACACGCCGTTTCCAAACCTCAATTAAGTGACTCATTCTCAAAATTGTTCCTCAAAATTTCAGGTGTTACAACTCTCACCTACTTAAATCAGATTTTGTCATTAAAATCATTCCTTATAATCTCATTTATTGAACTAAACGATCATGACTGGACCCCTGAATCCAAAAAATGATTGGGGAAGTCACCTTGCTCTGATGAATGCCCACCCTTACAGATTTTGAATCCCAAAAATAAAATATATCGCGAACCCTAACTAAGAACAAATCTCAACTTTTCATTAAGCCAACGAGTATCCAACCCCAACACCTGAAATTGAAAACCTTGAACAGTGATAGACTCCAATACATACATAACCAATCAAATCTGCTCCTGCAAAGACTCAACTTCACATCCTGAACCGAAAATCCTAAATTGACACGACCCGGAAATTGACACGAAAATCCTGCAAAGAACAAATCTCAACTTTTCATACTTGATTGAAACTAAAGGTGGCAAAAATTGACATGACCCGAAATTGACACGAAATAAACGGGTTTGGTTAGAGATTTTGACATGTTTAATTAAATGGGTTGACACGACACGACACGAATATTAAATGGGTAAAGTTAGGGTTAAGATTTTCAACTTGAGAACGATATAAAAATAACCCATATATATATATATATATATATCCATATATATATATATATATATATATATATATATATATATATATATGTATACTATTGGGCTAAATAAACATATTGGGCTGTAATTGTGTTGAAAGGGTATTAGGCTAGTAAAAGAGTTTTTTTTACCTAATTAGCTGATGACCTGATTTCTTCCACGAAACCACGAAAATGCTCTCGATTCCCGTCTTTCTTCACCCCTTTCACCGCTTATTACTTCATTCAATCGTTCCTTGTGAGTCACAGCAGCTACCGGTTTACTTCCTCCCACATATCAATCGTTCCTTGTTTACATCGTTATTAGGTTTTATTCTTATGTCTTTTTTGT